AAAGCAAATTGGTAGACACCCTGATGGAGCGCAACACCAGCACATGGCGGCACCCAGTGGCGAAAAGTGCATCTCATTCAAATACCTCCCATTATTCGTGTCACCTATTGGCCTATAGTGGGCTGTTTGTTTTTCAGTGTCAAACAGCAGGTGCAGGACACTTCAGCAGGAGTGAGCCCAGGCTTCTGTAAGAAAAAAAGGCGCCGAAGATAATGGCATCGTTGTGCTATTCTTTCAAACTGTTTTCGCCACACGAGACTGTAGGACTTCGCTGAGTTGTTTATAAGCACTGTCTGCTCACTGCAGGGCGTGTTTTCTTAGAAAGGCCAAGATGTGGTTTTAAGAACAAAGCCTTAAATGCCTCATAAAACAAGATATCTAAGCAGTGGCATTAGACAGTTACATTTTAGCAGGCCTAGTGGAATGATGGGCTTACCAGAATAGCGGGATCGAAATGTGCCTGTGCAGTATGCTAAAAGACCCGTAGTGTGTACCACAAGCACGCTATTTTACAGATTTAGTGTTGCCATGCTTGCGTGGTCTACGTAATGTATGTTAAAACATGGTGGAATTTTTAAAAAAGATGCTGCTCAGCAGCATCTAAAGCATTGGTAGCAATGGATGCACTTCTTTCGTAGCTAACAACTGTACAAAATAACTTCGCTTGCCTTCAAGTGTCTTCAACTACCAAGCTTTACTGATAACTTAGCCCAGTTTTTAAATGACTTCCCATTTTGAACGTTCCTAGGCCTAACTAGACGATCAGTGCAAACAAATCTGTAACATAATAATGTGCGATTTTAATGGATGGTTCATATTTATATACTTTTTTATTTACTTTTCTTTCTACTAAAAAAAAAGTTGCTGCATGTGGGGATACAGGCGAGCATTCTCAGTTCTTTTTTTGTACTTTCTATTATTGCATTTCTCTATTCAGTCAGGTAATAGAGAAATGCTCAGAATATAGCCAATCACTATACACAGCCTTCATAGATTACGCGAAGGCATTTGATTCACTAGAAATATCAGCAGTCATGCAGACACTGCGGAATCAGGACGTTGGTGAAGTATATATAAATATACAGGGGATCAACTGCTACCATATTGCTCCGTAAAGAAAGCAACAGAACACCAATCAAGAATGGTGTAAAGCAGGGGGATACAATATCCCCAATGCTGTTTACCGCTTGCTTACAGGAGGTTTTGTGAGGCCTAGAATGGGAACAGTTAATGGAGTTAAGAGTTAATGGAGAGTACCTTAGTAACCTGCGCTTGACCGACGACATTGCATTGCTGAGTAACTCGGGACAAATTGCAACTCATGATTACGGAGTTAGACAAGAAGAGCAGAAAGGTGTGTCTTAAAACTGCAGAAAACGGAAGTAATGTACAATAACCTCGGAAGAGAGCAGCGCTTCGAGATGGGTAATAGTGCCCTTTTAAGTTGTAAAAGACTATGTCCACTTTGGGCAGGTAATAACCGCAAAGCTGAACCACGATATAAGTAACTAGAAGAATAAGAATGTGGTGTAGCACATTTAGCAAGCACTCTCAAATCATGACAGGTAGATTGCCACTATCTCTCAAGAGGAAGGTATATAACAGCTGCATCTTGCCGGTACTTTGCTTTGGAGCAGAAACCTGGAGACTTACAAAGAGGGTTCAGCTTAAATTGAGGACAACGCAGCGAGCAATGGAAAGAAAAATGGTAGGTGTAACCTTAAAAACAAGAAGAGAGCCGAGTGGATTAGGGAAGAAACAGGGGTTAAGGATATCATAGTTGAAATCAAGAAGAGGAAATGGACATGGGCCGGGCATGTAGCGCGTAGACAGGATAACCGCTGGTCATTAAGGGTAACTAACTGGATTCCCAGAGAAGGCAAGCGGGTTAGGGGATGACAGAAGGTTAGGTGGGCAGATGAGATTAGGAGGTTTGCGGGTATAAATTGGCAGCAGCAAGGACAGGACCGAGTTGACTGGGAGAGGCCTTTGTCCTGCAGTGGACTTAGTCAGGCTGATGATGATGATGAATACATTCACATTCCGCTAGCTGGCGCCACCGTCCCAGATTGGGTATGTCAACTCTACCCTGCTGAAGTATAATGTGCTGTCCGCAACATATCTTTGTGTAGCACTTATGCTATTCCCTTAACCCCTGCTATCACACTAATGCTAAACTATAACTGTCCGTTGTTAGCGCGCCGCAGCATTGGAGACGAGTGATTAGAAGAATCACCATTACATTATGTCACCACATCACATTGCAGTGACATCACAGATCACCAAAACTTGTGGCATCATCATGATGTTACTGTGTCGTCACGTGACGTAATGTCGCATAATGTCGCCACATGACATCGAAGCTTGGTCAAATGTGGTCTGATCATGGAGGCAGTGCAGAAACGAGGTTAGGTGCTTCGATCTTGGAAGTAGTGCAAAAGCTTGTTAGGTCGAAGAGTGTGGTGTTGGGCCTGTTGGTACATAGCTTCTAATTAGGTGCAAGAAGCATTCAAGCAGCAGTGGTTTGGCATCAGTGCATTGTCTGAGAAGAAAAGATGGATGGCCTTCATAAGGGACCTAGTGAGCTTTTTTTTTTCCCTCACTGGCTCGTACATTTACTCTGGCATTCTAAAGACCATGCGCTACCAACTATACCTCCTATGTTAGTTGCCTTGTGAACAAGGGAAATCTCGAGTTTTGTGCGAAACCTGTCTAAGGCAACTCACGTGCAGTAGAGTTTCACCCGTGTCACAGTAAAATGCTGGCATGCTTTTTTTCCAGTACCTGCAAACCACTGCCTTGATTTGTCATGCATCCATGGGTGCAATAGCCATGCCAACTGCACCAGTTTTATGTTTTACACCACACCGTACCCAGATGCCCAACTGACCTGAAAAGGCATAGGCGTACTTTGTGTTGGGTGCTCATAAAATTTTCTTCAGTTAGTTATAATATAAGGGAGTTTCAGAACAAATTAAATTGCATGTTAGGCTGTATTTGTGGCAGCTATTGTAGAGGCGACACATATTCCAGCAGTGTAATGTAAGTCTAATATTGCTAGAGCTTTTATGTCGAGACTCCTTTTATTGATACTTGTTTTTTAATCCGTCCAAGCTCATGGATTATTTTATTGTTACCTTAGTTACATTTAGCCAGAAACACTGTAAACCAACTTGCTGAGCGCGAACCAACTTGCTGTTCTTTAGTGAAGCTCTGCAGGTGCTCTATGCAAAGGAGTGGAAATGGCATTCCAAACTTACCGAAACAAAACGACGAAGTCCTCTTCACTGTCTTTATAGTGTGTCTATGAATGCTTACCTTTACCAATGCATCTGACAGTGTGTAGGGGGCAGGCTTCAGAAAAGATCAATTGCCATTTACTATTGAGCTGGCAAACAAGTAACTGCGGCAGACTTGCTTTGTTTTATTCACGCACGTTATCCACGCGGGCATAGCGTAGACAGTGTCTGCAGCTTTCGGGGCAATTTGTCAAAACAGTGGTGTGACTGGCATGTAGTTCTGCCACATGCCATCGAAACTGCATGGTTGCCGTTCGTGATCTTGCCTCAGTGAGCCAGCTGGCATCTGCAGTAGCGGCAGCATATATCAGATTTCTCCCGATTTGGCGTCTTTCGGCAGCGCGCCTCTCGACAACTGTGTGGCAGCTCCGATCGTGGTGTGCTTTCAAAACTGTGGAGACACTTCCTACGATCGTGCCATGAGCAACCACGGTTTCTTTCACAGCCAGTGCGCCACGCAGTAGCTTTGTTCAAACCTTATGCGAAGCGTGCACAATGTCACAAAACTCGTGCATGGCAGAACATGACAAGCATCTCAGCATAGGTGTGCACATTGGCATAAAACTTGCCTGCAGCATCTTAAAATATGAACAATGTATTGTCAGTGGTATTGTCAGTGAAATAATTATTGTCAGGTACGCATGTCGCAATGTTGGCGGCGGTACGTGTGAAGGGGCCAGCGCACACCACATTTCAAATAAATAGAAGAGGCACTAAGGAGAAAAACAATTTTTATCGTGTCAGCAAAGTACAATTTCACAGTTCCACAAGCACCAATGTGCCTGCAAAGCTTTTTGGTAAGCCAGAAGACGTGAAAATAATAAAATACAGGAGGCGGCGCTGCCTTCGGGTTTCTGCATCAGCTCGCATTGATGTTGTAGATATTGACAGTGTCTGCTAGGGCCTCGCTAATTGTTGATAATTTAAAAATCTTTTTTGTTATGCTATAAGGGTCTCAAAAACCCAACCAAACCAGTTGAAGTGATTTTCATTGTGTCAGTGTGGCCAAAACGCACAGAAAGACTGAATTCGTGACATTACAGCAATGTTCATGTGCTGGCTTTGCACGAGATTCAGAAAAAAAAGCTTGAAACCTTACTTTATTTTCTTGTAGTTAACCTATGGTGCCAAAACTAATGGCAATAAAGTTCTGTGATAATTATCTGTATAAACTGATTGAATGGTTCACCTCATTGTTCCTGTAGTACAGTACACAGAGGTCTCTTGCCACGATCGCATTGGAAAGGAAGTCGCAGGACAACAAAGAATTGTGGCTTTTCCGCGGCTCTTGACGAAAACAAGAACAGAATGTGTGTATGCATTCAGAAAAATCAAAGTATATGAATGTGTTAGCTGTTGTTGAATGCAGCATTCTGTGCTTGCAGACAGTGTGCTCGTTAATTTAATTTGTATCTGGCAGTGTATTGGGCTGATAAAACTATGAACCTTTCTCAAATCATTTTGTGCGTTGCTCTCATTGTTAGTGCTTTCACTTTGCGGTAGTGATGACAGTGTCATCGAGTGTCTGTAGCCCCTTGCAGATCTCGTTACAACTAAGCTGTGCATGTTTATTGAATGAATCTATTGCCTCTACAGCCAAATAGGGCCTTCACTTGTTGAGTGAAAGTTGCAGTAACCTTGGTAAGCTCATTCATTGCAGTAGTTAACCTAATCACTTTTTTTTTTTATCTCCATGTGCAGAAACTATTGGGCATCAAGATGGCCACCTTCAAGATCACTATGGAGTTCCTGTGGAATTCAGATGGAACCTGCGAGGTGCTGTGTGAGAGTCCCAACGAGTTTGGCAAGAAGAACAGGTCTGTACGAGGAAAGAAGCGACAGAAGCTCGCAGCAGAGGACAACGAAAGCGAAGATGATGATGCTGACAACGGCAGTGAAGAAGAGGAAGAGGACTTGGACAGTGCTGGTGAAGAAAGCGACACTTCCATGAACAGCGCAGAAGATGTGGTCAAGCAAAGGCCGAAGAAAGTTGCAGTTAGGTCAAAGAAAAAGAAATAAATTGTGCTTTTAGAAATCATCCAAGCACTGCAGATTGGTGTGTGGAAAGTAAGGGAGTTTCACTTGTGAGTGAAACTGTTAGAAACATCTAACCAGCGCAAAAGCGATCTAAGATATGACAAAAAAAAAAAATGAAGAGGACTACGACTTGGTCCAGTGTATTTCTTAAGTTCATTTGATGTATCTTTCATGTTGGTCATGTCTAACTTCTGTAACTCACAGGCATATCTACTGAGGTCCCCGCTGTCAAAAGTCGAGGGAGCTTTTTAGAGCGGGAGTAGTCTCTGTTGGCTAACCGAAAAGTCAAAGCGTAGTTTCCTTTCAACACAGATGTCCATCACTTATCAGTTATACTTGTAATGTAGTTTATTCTGGATAGTGATATGGCTCTGAGCTAAGACATTTTATTCCTCATGCTTAATGGAGCTTAGCATTTACAAGTGGAAATGTACGAGAGTATGTCGAGCTAGCATCTGACTTAGCATGTCCAAGCACCAAGCATAAGGAGTTACAGTCTTTAAAAAAAAATTTTTTTTTTCGTCGGTGACGAAACTTGCCCAGTTTATTTATTTCAAATGTGAAATATCTTGTATTTTAAGGAGTACACATCATACTGTGCTAAAAAATAATTGTGTACTTGAAACCTGCACACAATTACACATTAACTGAGCAAGGTTCATCAAAATTGATCAAGAAATATGAAAAAAAATTATGTATCCAAGTTCTTACAGTACTTTGTAGCTTTCCATCTGGTTTTCCCGAAGTTTGATTGTAAGTGCTCTGATGCATGATGCAATTAATACCAGCATCATTAATTCTGTACATTTTTTAGTCAGTTTGATACACTCGCCTAAGTACCATAGGAAACTAGTGCCCCACTGCGGGGTAGCGCGTGAGCTTCTGTGATGCTAACCATGCTGCTTGCAAGTGGTGAAAAATGAAACAATGTGTGCACCTTGAGTGTGTCCTCAAAAACGGAAAAGCATTCCTGGCGTAAGCAGCACAACCACCTTGAGAGCAGCCCAACAACGGAGCGAGAAGGGCGACTAACTTGGATGCCAGTGCGGGTATTATGGATGCCCCGCAAGTGTTCTCTGACATCAATACTCGCTTTTCTCGTGGAACAACAAGTGGGGCCTCTGTCTACGTCAAACAACCAGAGAAGATGTTGATTGGTGCAGATAACTCAGATGAGCATTCAGTCATAGTTCAAAATCAAGTTGAAATATCTTATAGGCACCGCTTGTCGCTAAAAATGGGTCAGAAGTGCAGCACTCCTGAACACAAGCATCTCGTGTGTTTCTGAATTTGTTGTCAGGAGTCCTTCAAGTCTCTTGTCACCCCTTAAGCAAGCCAATTTGTTGCTGGGATATTTTGCCTAAGTTTTCCCTCACTTCTGTCTTCATTAAAAGGCCACTCACCAGGCCCCATACCAAGTTTTAGTTAGACTGGGAAGTTCATGGGTGTCCAATGAGGAACATTTTGCCTCAAGAATGTTTTTAATCGGTTCATTACGAGCTGAGAAAACTGTTTTTTTGAAGAGGCGCGAAACGAGATTGAGAAGAGGCGAGCTCGAAACCCTTGCCGCTCCTCCGCGTAGCCTTCGCAAGCCAAATCTCTTCCCTACCCTTTTTTCCGGCATCCGATATAGTGACGTACTTGAACAAACCCAACCCCCGTGCACGCGAGTGGGTTTTTTTTTTCTTTGTTCATCAGCGTTGTTTTGAGGTCTATTGCCTGTTTCTGCATGATGGTTTGGAAACGCTGGCTTAGACGCGATAAAATGGACAGGAGGCGCTGTAATAGATGAGCACAATGAGCGCGCGAACGCAAAGAAGCGTTCCACGGCTGTCGTCTGCTCGATGGGACTGACCGCGGGAGCACGAACGCATGCGCAACGCTGGCACATTAGCCCCGCATCTCGTTGCATTTCGCGAGGGAAAAAATTGAAAAAGAAAAGGACGCTCATAGGGGACCAACGTCACTACATTTCCATGTACGTAGGGCCATTCATATGAGCACGTCATGCCCTCATTCTATGGTCGCGCATCCGCAAAAGGAAGGGTGAGCAGCGTTCATCTTGAGATTTCACCCATTTCCGCGGCACGTAGCATTGCAAATTTCGGCAGATGTGATCATGAAGACCTCATCTATGCATTGCGCTTGTCAGCTCAAAATTGTCATACCTGGTGAGTGGCCCTTCAAGTTCATGTCACAACCACATCAGCCCTGAGCATTAAAAGTGTTGGTGCATATCATGCATGTTTTTCGCAAAGATTGAAATGGCCTTTCCACTGATGTTGTGTCTATTGATTCTATTCAGTAGCATAGGGCGGAAACTGGCGTCTATTGTATCACCATGGCAATGATGGAAAGTACAGGCTTCGGATTAGATAGCGTTACCTAGCAAACTGTCTACAGATCTTTTTCTATGGTTTGTTGTGTTTTTAGCAACGGTCGTGAGCGGATGCTGTGATGGGGAAGAGAAATGCACCATGCTTGGCGAGATGTAGCCACTAGGGGTGCTGTGCCATGCACTCTAGCAGCTCCTTGTTCTTCAAAGAGGCTGAATATCACTAGGTCTCTTGGTTTGCTACGACGTTGAAGATTTTCTTGTTTTAGCAGGCCCCATATGAGGTGTAGTTAAAGTTTATTTTAATTGCTTCTTGCCAAAACTCACTGTGCTTCAAAAAGCACAGTAGATGCACCATCACACTCCTTTGACTTGACTTCACTACAGAACAAGAGAACACTACAAAGAAGTTGGGGGCAGCCCAGTCGGATAGATGCACCTAGCATTGCAATAGATGATACATTAGGTACATCATTCAATACAGCGGTGTTGTTTTCAAATTTTGTATTTCATTATATCTGGAACACAGTGGAAGAGCACTGCATAAACTGATGGTTGAACTTCCATTTCACATTTGTACAAAGAAGTTGTACTTGGAAATAACCTCATATCACTTTTTACACTCGGCAAACAGGCATTGCAAATTTCTAGAACGTAATCCATCCAAAGCTTGTACCCGCCACTCCCATGGTGATGGCACAAGCCCCACTAAAGGCTCTAGCGCCAGTTCCCCCTCTGGTATAGTATAAAACTCTATGATTGGCTAACTCAATTTATGATATGCTATGTTTTAAGGCTGTCTCTCACTAACATGGCTAAAATTATATGATAAGTAGCATGCATTTTCTCATTGTTAAAAAGAGCCCTGCTAGTGTTCCAGGATCCTGTGAACATAGGTAACAAGGAATTAGTTGCATTTGAAGGACAGGGAGAACTCACTCACTCTTTGAACACCCATCTTCCACGGTCTAACTAAAATTTGGTATGGGTGAGGGAAAACTTGGGGCAAAACATCCCAGCAACAAGTTGGCTTGCTTAAGAGGTGACAAGCAAATTTCACGATAGAAATTTCATGATGTACCCATGATGTAGCCTTTCACACACTTACCAAAGACCAGCCTTTGCACTTGTCATGGCTCCCTCTTTGTCTGTCATCCTCCTTGTGTAGCTTTCAGCACTCGTGAAAAGAGGGTGTGATAAAAGGGTGTCCCTGTCAGATAGCAATGTCATTTGATCATTGCTGCCACATATGCCTAATAATTTGCATAATTTTGGATTTGTAACTCTTATTAAAATTGCATGCAGTGGAAGATGGGACGACTGGTTAGGTCCACCATATTTTCAAGCACGAGACGGCAGATTAAGGCAGTGGAATGTCTGTGCTTTATGAAGCGTTTCTACAATGTGCTTGTGAGACAGTGCTCAGATGTCGTGTTCATTTAAAATGCTGTGTTCATTTAAAAGAGTTCATTTCAAAATAAAAGGCGTGAAAGAAATGGACGGAGATAATTTTGTCGCCTGTTGCACTGCGTTGATCCTATGTAAATTTCCTCACTGAGAAGCAGGAAACGTTAAAAACAAACGTGTGAAATCACGTTTGTTAATTATTTGTCCACTAGTTTGAGCTTTCAAACGTAATGTTGCCACGAACCTAGTTAGCCCTGAATTGTCCTGCCTCCTAATCATTGGCTCAGCTCATTCGTGCCATGCAAGAATTGCAGCTAAGCGAGTGCCTGAATTCCAGTGCACATTTTTTGTGAAATACTGCAGGCCAAAAAGGCCCAAGCAGGAGGGGCACAAACACAATATCAGTACATGAGTGTAAGAGGAGAGCGAGTAGACGAGAAGCATCAAAAAAAAAAAAAAAATCAAGCGATATTGGGAGGGGGGGGGGGGGGGGGTCAAGATTCACAGAATTAAACATTGGGTTCATCAAGATCGAAGGTTTGGAGGAAATCAGAAGTTCTGTTACAGTTCTCGGAAATAAGGAAAACTTAAATAAATCTGTCCGCGCAAAATACGGAGTTAAAGATGACGAGTTTGCATGCTTTCAGTTTTACCTTTTAGAAACATTGGTTGCATTTCCACTACTTGCTTGGGCTTCCTAATGATAAACCCGAACAAACCCATCCCCCGTGCACGCGAGTTGATTTTTTGTTGTTGATTAGCGTTGTTTTGAGGTCTGCGGGATGGTTTGAAAACGCGGCTTAGACCAAACAAGCAATTCTTCCTCAGCAAAAGATCATCAGTGAAGCTCATTCTAATGCAGTTTATAGAAAAATTGACGTATGCAACTTGATATTGCTCGGAAAGTGCTCGTTCTTGCAGATCTCGTGGGCTGTGCATGTTTATTGAATGAATCTTGCCTCTGCGGCAAAATAGGGCTGTTGAGTGAAGTAATCTTGATAAGCTCGTTCACTGCAGTAGTTAATGTCTATTTCAGCACACTCCGTGTGCAGAAACATCTATTTCTGCACACTCCGTGTGCAACATCTATCAGTTAGCAAATTTGCAAACATCTATTTCTGCACACTGATACTCCGTGTGCAGAAATAGAAATAGATGAGAGTACGATGCAGAAATAGATGTTTGCAAATTTGCTAACTTTTTATTGGAACTGTTCGTCCCGAAAACTGCGAGCTTTGAAAAATTCAAGCTCCAAAGCCAACTA